TAGGCCGACTCGCTGGACTGCGTCCTGCCCAGGGTGGGCGCGGCGGGTGCGGGCGCTGCCGGCGCCGCTCCCGGCGGGTCCTTCCGCCGCGCCGAGGCCTCCCCCAGGGACTTCCTTCGGGCGCGGGCCCCCCGCACGGCCGCCCGCACCTTGCGCCAGCCCAGGTGGTTGAGCTCGGCCAGGTTGAGCAGGACGCAGACGCCCGAGACGGCGAACATGAAGACGAGGAAGACGGTCTTCTCGGTGGGCCGCGACACGTAGCACTCCACCTCCTTGACGCAGGGGTAGCGCCCGCACTCGAAGATGGCGGGCACGTTGAAGCCGTAGAGGAAGTACTGCCCGCCCAGGAAGCCGATCTCCAGCGCGTTGCGGAAAACCACCTGGATGACGTAGAAGCGCGAGATCCCTTCCTGGCGCTTGGCCTTGGCGCTGCGGCCCGGCCGCGGCGCCGGCGCCGCCACCATCACCGGCACCGTGGCGTCCTTGCCGTCGGGGAGCCCCTCGGGCTCGTCCTTGCCGGGCACCGCCCCCAGTCCCCCCTTGGCCCTCTTGGCGTCGTAGAGGAAGGAGCAGCGTCGCTCGCGCTGCTTGGCCGCCTGGTGCACGGAGTAGGTGATGAAGCAGAGGCTGGGCGTGCACACCAGGATGATCTGGAAGACCCAGTAGCGGATGTGGGAGATGGGGAAGGCCTTGTCGTAGCAGGCCTGGTTGCAGCCGGGCTGGAGGGTGTTGCACATGAACATGGTCTGCTCGTCCTCGTAAACCGTCTCGCCCACGATGGCCACGATGAGGATGCGGAAGATCACCACCACCGTCAGCAGGATCCTAAAGGGACAAAGGGGGGTGGGAATGGGGGGTACTGGGGTGGGAACGGGAGGTACCGGGGTGGGAACGGGGGCTACCGGGGGTGGGGATGGGGGCCCTGCCTGGATCTGGGACGTGGGTTGGGTCTGGACTTGGGGGGCCTATTGGAGCTGGATGTGTGGGACTTACCTGGACATGTGGGTCCTACCTGGAGATGTGGGTCCTACCTGGACCTGAAAATGGGGGTGACTGCCTGGATCTAGGACATGGGTTGGGTCTGGACTTGGGGGTCCTACCTGGAGATGTGGGTCCTACCTGGATCTAGGACATGGGTTGGGGCTGGACTTGTGGGTCCTACCTGGACATCCGGGTCCTACTGCACCTGGACATGTGGGTCCTGCCTGGATCTAGGACACCTGGATCTAGGACACAGGTTGGGTCTGGATTTGGAGGTCCTACCTGGACTTGTAGGTCCTACCTGACCCTGGTGACGTAGGGGGGGGTCTGGAGATGTGGGTCCCACCTGGAGATGTGGGTCCTACCTGGACCTGAACATGTGGGGCCTGCCTGGATCTAGGACATGGGTTGGGGCTGGACTTGGGGGTCAGACCTGTACATCTGGGCCCTGCTGGACCTGGACAAGTGGGTCCCACCTGACCCTGATGACATGGGGGGGGGTCTGGTCCTGTGGGTCCCACCTGTGTCCCCCCCCCCCGTTCACCTGTCCCTGCTCACCTGGGCCGGCCCCACCCCCCCATGTCCCTGCCCGGCCACGTGAGCACCCAGGTGACCCAGAGCACCCAGGTGACCCAGCCCAGGTGACCCAGCCCTGAGCCCGTGGGTGGCCCTTGAGCCATCGGGGTCACCCGGGGTCACCCGGGGCCACCTGGAGCCGGACACGGGGGGG